CCCTAGCTTGCCTCACTCCTTAACAATGCCGACTGAGGTCCCTGTGTACTGCGAACAAGTCTTCTTATAAACTGGATATAGCCAGTAGGCCACATTTTACCTTGAAGTTTGACCTGTTTGTCCCTTCCAATGTACTAATACTTACCTCTGGAATATATTTTAGACTTTGGTATCCAGACTTCAGCTTCCTTAGATGGTTATAGAATGTATTCTATTGTTTAGGTCCTTGGGCTCTGCACTTGCGCTAACACGATGTGTGTGCATCTATATGCCCTTGGACAAGGCCAAAGACCTCCCCTGCTGTGAGGGTTTCTGCCTTCACAGTCCGCTTCTTGGTGTGATTCAGCAAGGGTTTCCTCTAGGACGCGGCTCCCTGGGACCAAACTGGGGGTGCAGCAGGGCCTCCTGGGAAGTTTTGCTTAGTAATTAAATTTTCTATAATTTCATTCCTCCATTGGCTGCCAGTGTGACCTTTAGCAAGTTGTATAAACTAAGAATAGCTAGTTACCCACCTTATAGCTAGGTAGCACCTCTAGGTCCTCACAGGATCCATAAAAGGACTGCAAACATCTCATGATTTTGATATGCTTCCTGCTCTCAGGTCTGATAATGTGATAATCCCCCAGTAAGAAAGAGTCAGATTTTTGAACAACAGGGTGATCAGTTTGTGTGTATGTGTACCCCCCTTTCCCCTTCCCCTCCATTTATCCGCCTCAGGCTCGCGGCCGTCATTGTTAATTTTCCCAGATGGAGACCTGCTGGACTGGTACAAGTCTAATGGGCATTTTTTTTTTTAAAACCAGACTTAGCTGGCTGAACCTACTCATAGGCTTCCCACCTTCTTTGACTGAACGTCCATTATCTGTGCTGTAGACTGATTTTAGAACTCAATCCACGTGTTTTTAATCCACCTGCCCGTTCACTGACTTTGTTTGATAAACCAGGCAGACAGCAATATAGGAAATGTATATTTAATCATTTTTGTGACTGGTCAGAACTCTTAAAAACTAAGTTTTTTAATAACAAAATGTAATACATTCATTCTGGGTCCCAAAGGCCAGGGAGGGCAGTGGTTAACAGGTGAGAACTGTGGGAAGAGCCTGGTAGAAAACCATGACAACAACGACAGAAACACATCCTTTTTAAAACCCGAGCTTCACCCATCAGGGCCTCCTTTCAAAGGGTCATTGCCCCTGATTTCAGAAGCCTCGGTGAGTCCCAGGGAAGGAATCTCTTTGCTGGTTTGGGCAGGCAGGGTCCTACGATTTAAAGCCAAAACCAGGAAACAAGATGGAATTCAGGCAGCTCTCTCACATAACTTGGGTTGTGGGGTAGAAGGAAGGGAAATGAATTTAGCGCAACCACCTGAACATAATCCCATCAGGAATTCCCCACAAGCATTGTCAACACCATTTACTGCAAGACACTCCCCTGGTTGCCCAACGTCCGACTTGTGGTTTCTGTGTCCAGGCCGCCTCAGGCAGATGGAGGGTAAGGCTCGTTTTAAGACAGCAAGCAGATGTGTGCTCTCCTCTTTTCTAGATCCTTTTCTTTACCAAATCAGCGTGGCAGAGTTGCCATTGTATCCTGGATAGTTCTTGGTCATGAAGCGAGGTCTTGTCCTTGTAGAATGTTGAGCAGCAGCCCTGGGCTTTATCTAGATGCCCGTAGCACCCACCCCGGAGTAAGCTAGGACCACCAAAATTGTCTCTAGACATTGCCAGAAGTCCCTTGGGGGCCAAACCACTCCTAGTTGATTTCCACCGCTCCAGATGTTGTTGAAATCTGAGGTCAAAGTTGCCCGTGGTGGATAGAAAGCCGAGGTCTCTGAAGCCGTGTGCTGATACAACTCCCTTCCCCGGACCTTTTGCGGTTGAGCATCTGCCTTGAGAAATAAAATGACGTTCATTGAAAGAAGGTGGTGGTCAGATTGTCTAGACGATCCTTGTCGCTCAACTACGACGGCTTTTTCTACGTGTTAAGATGATGACCGCGCCTTCACATTCCCTGGGTGTTTGTCAAATGGGAGGAGAACCGAGGCACTTTGGAAGCATCATCATAAAAATGGAGCCAGTTCACCCTTCGAGAAAATGCTCTGAGCTGTGAGATGGCAGCTGGTTAGCAGGTAGCTGTGGAATATAAAACATATGCATATGGCTCTGGAAACTTTCTAGGAACCCTCTCAGAGCAACCTTACAGCACAGATAGATACCTAAGGATTCAGAGGAAAGCAGGATCCAGTATCTCATCCTCTCATTCTCTGTGAGGAGGGAGGGAGGGCCCTAAAATGATGGAGATATGTAGGTTTCCAAATGCATTTTATATAGAAGTATTAAAACATCTCTCTAATTCAGATGAATTGTCCCTCCCCTTGTCCCATTTTAATATGTCTTTGAAGATAGAGGTATCATCTTCATAGAAGGGTCTTCTCTGGGTTGCTTTTAGCTTATTTTTGCTCCTTGATGTAGTTTTTGGTTGCTAAATGTGAAAATTCATTTCTCCCCTGAAATACAAAACTAGGTCATGGTTTGCGGTGAAATAATTCTGAAGATTTCTGGGATTCTGAAAAATAACAGCAATAAGATCCCATTATATCCACTTAGCAAGCATTCAGTGAAGGTTGAAAGAGTCTCCCTGCCTCAGTATGAGTACATCCCTTTTTCAGAAGTGGGCTTCTCTTTCTGTATTTTCATCCTGTTCTATCAAGGCCACAAGGTCCCAGGGGCTGCTGGAGTCTCTCCTTGATGGAGCATCATCCTAGTGACAGTCTCAGGAAAGAGTCCTTAGAGAGCAAACAGGAATGGAAAGAGAACTGAATTCTTGGAAGGCATGAGAAGAACACTCATCTCCGCCCCACCCTCCTGGGTCTGGATGTGCAGAGGTCTAGTTGGACGTGAGGTTGCTTCTGGGTCGGAGAAGAAAGAGCTTCTGACCAGGAGCAGCGTGACCTAAAATAGCCTAGCGACGAGGGATCTCAAGCAATGTGCTTTTCATTTACTTTGCAGAATCAAACGGTTTTAAGATAATCCCGATCTGATTTCTAGGGGGAAGGAGCTACAACTAACTTGATAATAGGTATAGAGACTTGGGTGACAGTATAGAGCCCCCACACAGACTGCATGTGACCATGATTTATTCCATGTGTGCTAGGACTTTAAAAAAATAAAGCCTACAAAGTACTGTCCTCAAGGAGTACGAAATAAAGATGGGTGAACTGTGCTTTATAACAGGTCCTATTATCTAGTTGCAAGTCATTAAAACCTCATTTGTAGTGTTGTAAGGAAGTAAGGAAAGAAGAAAAGGTCTTCTAGTGATATATCCAAGGGACGGTTTCTTCAGGCAAATGAATCTGAGGATAGACAACCATGGGGGATGGAGAATGGCGGAAACTGACAGGTTTCCCTACAAAGAACCAACTGTGTACTGCAGTACGAGTTTGGAGAACACAGAAAGACTGCAAAGAGGCAGATGAGCAGCTCTTTCCCTGCCCTTAACAAAGATTGTGTGGCGCTGCTCTCAAGTTCAAACTCACTGCCAACGAGTCAAATCTGACTCAGAGGGACACTATAGGACAGAGTCGAACTGCCTTGGTGGGTTTCCAAAGCTGTCAATCTTTAGGGCAACAGAAAGCCTTATCTTTCTCCCACAGAGTAGCTGGTGGGATTGAACTGCTGACCTTGAAGGCAGTCCAACAAGCCACTAAGCCAACCAAACCAAACCAAACTCATTGCTATCAAGTCTATGCTGACTTAGAGTGGCCCCTTGTGGGTTTCCGAGACGGTAACTGTTGACCGGAGTAGAAAGCCCAGTCTTTCTCCTGTAGAGCTGCTGGTGGTTTCGAACTGCTGACCAGACAGGTCGCATAACCACTACACCACCTGGGCTCCTTACTAAGCCCCAGGGCTCCTTATAGGTGACTTAGTGTGTAAAATGTCATAAAGTATATATGCATGCCCAGGGGACGTGAAATAAAAGGACCACCAGGAAGGGGGCCATGAGCTAGGAAGCACTTCCTTGAAGTGGGCCACGGAAGCAGTGGAGGTGAATGCTGCCGAGTAGAGGAAATGTGCAGGCAGAGCCTGCGAAAGATGGAGGGGAGAGAATAGCAGAGAGTAGGGGAAAGGAGGGAGGCAACAGAAAGCACAAGGAGAATAATGGTTAGAGGGCTGCAACCACACTGCCGGGGACTTGACCTCTGATAGAATAGTGCCCAGAGGGCCACTTAAGGTTTCAAAGCCTAGGAACACTGTGATTCAGTGTTTGACTAATTTTATTCCCGAACCTTGTTTCCTATCGCTGAACAGGGAGAGGAAGGAGCCCAAGTATAAGGTTCAAAAGTGGTCTGGGTGTGAGATGACAAAGACTGGATTCAATTCTGAGCAAAAGCCCAGGGCAAAATGCTGAAGGGGTTGGTAGCAAATAAATATGAAGGACAGAGGAGAGACAAAAATAGCTCTTGTTGTGAGCCTGGCTGATGATGGTGCCACTGAATAATGTGGGAGGTGTTGACGGAAACTTCCAGAGCTCCATTTTACATAAATTCTTTATGCAGAAGAATTTGCGGGAGGAAATGTCTTACCAATAATTGGAGCCAGAGGACTGAAGTGAAAATGAGAATTCTCGGCAGGAGGTGTAGCATGTGAGTCATATGCCAACTTTCCTGTTAACAGGGGCCTTGTTCGGGTGGGTCGCTTATGGGAGCGATTATGTGCGTGTCACCATGCTTACTAAATTCACAGTGAAATCCAGAACAACTCCTCGGACCACACATCTCTTTTGCTTAACTAAGAATTGTTTGTCCTGTAAGTCTGTCACTGAGGCCTGCGCTCTTTGTTAATCTAACAAGTGATTCCCCTTTACAGTGTCAATGGAATCGTGTCCAACGCCCTGGCCTTCTTAAGCAGTTCTCTCGGATGCTGGAAGCCCCTGGACTCGCGTTTGGAACGCAAGCACACACAGAACTTGTCTCCCACACCAGCTGTGATTCATCTCACCTATGTCCCAGTGACTTTGTAGGTTTCTGGGTGGCCAAGGGACATTATTTCAGCGTCAGGCAAGAGGAGAGAGGCAGAAGGAGCCAGCTGATGGCGCCCAGAGAGGAGACGCAGAGGGAAGCCTTTGAGTTCAGCAGCTGTAAGTGACTCCGCCTTCTGATCTCAGAGTCTGCACGTGGAGAGAAAAAGGCTCAGGGTCATGGAGGAGAACTTGGATATGTTCTTCACATGGCTGGTTAGCCAAGAAAAAGCACCTGAGAAATGAAACAAGTTGTTCCAAATACAGGTAATCTTGTACCCCATTCATCACCTTCTTGTAACCAGTTTAAAAACAGAGTGTTCCCAATCTCGGACGGAAGTTGCATTCTGTGGTTGAACTCAGGGTGCCTTCTGCCAAATGAAAAATCATACCAATAAAGTGATTATTATTGGTTGCCAAATAAAGAATAGGTTACACAAACAGCCATGGTCTTGGGTTTGGACACATTTTTCCTCTAGGTAGTGACCTTTATAGATTCTATCATTAACTTTTATTACATCACTACAAAATGACAAGAAAGTACTGCTCTCATTTTGTAGTGAGAGGCAGAAGAAATGAAATTACTCTACTTTTGCTCTATTTCCTTGCTAGCATGTTTAATTCATTTTAGCTCTGACTCTAACACTGTACCTTTAAGCAAGTGACTACCTATATGTATCTCATCTTTTAGTCTATAAAGAAGAAAATAACAGGTATATAAAATGATAATAATAATAATAATCTACCATACATAGTTCTTAGGAGGATTCATGAGCTAATGCATGCCAAGCACTTCGAACAGTGGCCTGGCACACAGTATGTACTTAATAGGTGTTCCCTATAAAAGGAACAATAACAGGAAGTCTATCTAACCTATAAGCATCACTTCCATTTTGATTATTTCCAAATTAACTTTGTTAATCTGAACTATCCTGAGTGTCACATCTGGATTTGCAGTTACTATTGGAGATCTCATTTAATGACATTGTTATTTAGTAACTATTTTTAGTAACTACTGATGGGATTCAGTGGAGCCCAATAACACCATTCTTCCCTGGGCTCTGAATTAATTAAGCAATAAGACAAAAGGGGGAGACCAAAATATCACCTTTAATATTATAGGCCTTTATGTTGGCAAGTGGGTTGCCAAGAGTGTAGTCATAGGTTGGGGTAGCTAACCCCTGCAAGGGGAGCGTCTATCTCTGAACAACAGATGGCTTGGAGGACCTGAGCAGGGTGGATACCACCTGAGGGCGGCTAGAGAAGAAGGAGAAAGAAGCAACTGAGCTACTTATGTCTAGCTTCGCATGAACTCATCAACCAGATTCATCACTTTCTTCTTCCCTAGAAAGGAGTCAAAAAAGGGGAGAAAGAGACTAGAAGGGCTAAATAGCTGAGACTCCTTTTCCACACGAGGAAATAGTTGGAGCAGGGACGAAGCAGCCTCCCAGACATCAGCATTATGCTCAGAAGTGTGACAAGCATCGGACATTTCTACCTGTGTACAACCTAGGAATGTCACACTCACGCATCTCAAATACACCACAGCTTCTGTTTCTCTTCTGTTGGCTGCATTGCCAACTTCTTAAGCACTCTCAGTACAAGTATCAAGCCTTTGTGACCCCTTCTCTCTCTTGTCCTTCACGTTTACATCACCAAGACCTTAGATTATTGTTTTTAAAGAAACTTTGGATTCTTATCCCTCTTTTCCCCCATTGGTCCTGCCCCAGTTAAGACCCTCCTAGTTTCTCCCCAGGGCCATTGGTATAAACTTCATATTTCATGGCTTCTAACATATTAAAACCATTTTTCTCTCTCAAAGCCCAGCTTGAAATCTGCCTGCTCTATGGATGTACTGCCGACATAATGAACAGCTCTTTCTCTTAGGTACCAAATATGCATCTTGACTGACGTCTCGCTTAGTACTCGGGCTATTTATCTCATGGGACTGAAAAGAGTACTTTGTAAAGATTTGACACAGAATAAGTAGTTGTAATTAGCAGTCTAGTCAGAGATCTTAGGATATCATTCTCATGGCCTCATTTCGTTGTTTACAAAGGCACATGGAATATCTGCTTTGTGTGTGACAAGAAGGAATTCTATTGTTTCTAAATTTTGATCTCTGCCAAGCCACCAAGAGTCAGACTTAATTCTAGTATTGATTACTTGGGACTTTAGCTCTGATGTATCATACAATCATGTATAGGAAAAGGATCTGCTCACTGAATCAAAGGTGTGGCCACATCTATGGCTTATTCAGTTATTGCCCTTTCTATTAGAAGGCATTAGTTATGCAGTTTGGATTTTTTTCCTGAGATTTTACCCGAGATACTGTTATTGACACCTATTACCTCCAATGAAAAATGCTTTGTTTCTTCCTTTTCTGGGAAATGCCCTCTCTCATTAGAATCTGCCTCATTGGCTTAGGTATGGACAGCAGATCCAAGTTAAACCAATCAAAGCCCTTCGTGAGAATGCAGGGTAGCCATGAAGAATTGCACTTCGATCTGGTGACTCTCTTGAGGGAAAGAGATGTTTTAAAGCGAGTCGCTCTTGCAAACACTCTGCCGTACCCAGTGAGAGCAGAGAGAGCCACTGTGATGCGAGAGATGCCAAGAAGTCAGAAACGGACTTTCATCGCCATCTAAGTTCCTCATTCCAGCTGTTCATCAGCCCAAATTTTCTCCACAATTTCTGTCCTCGATTCTATGAGACATTCCAGGGCCTTTGAAATAAGTGACCCTTTTTAGCTTAGATTTTTTTTTTTGAGTTGGTCTTTTACTATGGGTAACTAAAAGAATTCTAACCAGTACACTCACCAATTTGTTCCTCAAGATGGTGGAAGAGTTCTCTCTCTTTATCTCTATAATTTTAAATAAGATATGTAGCAGCTGCTAAGAACATGACTTATTCAGCTGTTTAGTTCAGCAAACACTTATAGGGCACTAATAATATGCAAGGTATTCTGCCTTGTGCCGAGCTTGATATGGACTGTGGGTTTATAAGTTTCTTAAATGGTGGGTCCTGATCCCATGTGGGGGGCATGTAACGGAATGTGGGGATTGTGAAAAATTTAGCAAGAGTGAAAGGTCTGCACATGCAATGGCCAGCAATGAATTCAGAACCCAACATATAACGGATCAGAGCTGTTTCTGGTAGTGCTTGCTCTTGCTGCGAACGTCTTGGGCAAAATGTGGTCCCGAGTGGGAACAGTGTAAAAAGCCCTGAAGTTCTCCTGACCTAAACTTTCTGTCAGAGTCTAAATCTCATTCCGCTTCAGGAGGGATGAACTTGATCATGGTTTTGTTTATGAAGTTTCTCGGTACTAACTCAACCTTAGCTTTGGAGGTACCAAATCAAGCACTGCAGGGGGACCAATTTGCTATGCCTCTCCCTCCGTCTGGAGGCCAGTTCCATCTAGAGAAATCCTGGGCCACCTTTGGTGGAATCACGTGTTAGCCTCATGAAGGTAAATAAGACTTAATCACGCTCCGTGTCCATTAGTCTTTAGATCAATGGCAGGCTAGAACCAAAGCAGTTTGGGGAGACCACCAGCTGATTGTATAAAAGAGGTCAAGTAATAAGCACATTCTCAACGCTATGTCAAAAACGACTCTTCCTAAGCCAGATTCCTAAACACTGTTGTGCAGAATTCCAATCAATGAGAAGACATCCAAAATAAATCCTAATTGTGGCCTTGGGTCTAAATGCCATAAATACTGTTTTATTATATTTTCTCAGACACAATACAATTCTAACTGGCATTATGATTCAGTCTTAGAAAGGAATCCAGAGCTTTTTGTATCCTGGCACATAATGTATCTGTTGTTATATTTGAAGTTAGATTGGATTATCTTGGCCAACAAATCTGTAGACAAAGGGTGGAACAACCTACCTGTCACTTTGATATCCCCCGTGGCTTTGGCAATGTCGTTCTCAATCATACAGGAGTATGTGTTGTTGATTGTGACATTATAGAGCACGGACACCACCTTCATGGTCACATTCTCAGAGTTCAGCTCAAAGCTGGTATTGGAGACTTCTGAGAAGTTGGCTCCATGGTCAACTTGGGATGCCCAGTTCACCGTGGGCTGGGGAAACCATCTGGGAGCCTCACACCGCAGGCTCTCTGAACTGGCGTTATAGTCGACATTCACCTCTGGGATGCTGAAGGCTGCAGGGGCAAACAGCAAAAAGGGAAGATGTCCAGTTCAGACAGATGACAAGAGAGTCATTAAAGTAATTAATTTGTTTTGTTCAGCATAATGTCTTCCCAGGTTTATCCAGGCTATGAAGTGGTTTTGTTTTCTTAAATCATCTTCAGATTCTTCACAGTATCTAGCTGAGTCCTATGTAGATAAGTTCATAAACATGTTAAATTGGTAAGGAAAAGCATATTTCCTTGAGGGAGGATTAATGGGCTTTTAGGACAATATTATTTTAGTTGGTTCCCTTTGAGTTTCTTCTACTTGAATGGGTTCCACAACCAAGAGTCCCTGAAAGCACTGGTTTAAGTCAAATTATGGGCTTCTCTTATTAGCAGTACCAAGGGCCAACATGAAGGAGAGAACATTTGTTTTGGCAAAATAATTAAGGTAATAGACCTGAGAAGTCAGAAGAGGCTAGAACCTATGGCAAGAGACTTTAAGACCCAATACTTACTATTCTTTGCTGTCATTACTGTCAAGTAAATTCTGACCGATGGCAATGCCATATATGTAGAGTGGAACTACTCCATATGATTTTGTTTCATGGCTGGACCCTTTTGGAAATAGATAGCTAGCCCCGTTTTTCAAAGTTCCTATGGGTGGATTCAAATTACCAACTTTATGGTTGGTAGTCAAGTTTTTAAATATTTGGGCTCTCAGGAATACTTCCTAACGTTATAGTGTTTGGAGCCAGTGGGGTCTTGAACATAGCATGACAAGAATGACTAACCGATTTAGGAGGGTCTTGGTCTGATATTCACATACACACACACACACACACACACACACATTTCATTGGCAATTTCTACTACTCACCTCCAGTTTTATACTCCAAGTTAGCATTCCCTCTGCCCTTAGAAGTGATGATAAAGCATTTGTAGATGCCAGCATCTGTGAGTTGCACATTTTTAAGTCTCAGAGAGGCATTGCCAACTATAACTTGGTCACTAAACACAGCTGTCCGGCCCCTGAACATTTCATCCTGGTCTGATAGGTCATCTTTGCCTTCTTTGAATTCATGGACCAAGCCCATAACACCTTCCTTCAGCCACTGTATCACGATATCAGAAAGTTTGATATCAGGTTCAAAAGTGCAGCCCAAGATTCCATCCTCTCCGAGGTTCCCAGCTGAAGTCAGAGTAGTGACCGTGATGGAGTGTCTCCCTGCAATTCAAGAAACAAAGGTCAATTCCAAGAGAGGTATTGAAATGTTTATGACCAAATCCTTCATTAATAAGGCCAAACAGACCTCTGCTATAAGTGACAAATTTAAATTAGGAGAGATATTAAAAAACTAAGAGCTAGGAAGAACAGAAAAAGCAGGCGGATGACAGTCTTAATATCTACATCACACCTGCCACATACAACACCTTTTGTGAGACAAAGTCACCCAAACCTGGAGACACAGTGGAAGGAGAAGCATACTGGACTTCGGGTTGAAGATGGGAGCTCAAATATGCAGCTTTGTCACCTAATGGCTGTTGAGCTTGAATAAGTCATGCAAACCCTCTGAATCTTAGAAAAAATGAAGGTAATGGTACCTGTCTTACCTACCTTAAAGGGTTCTTGTGAGGATCAAATCAAATGAATGTGAACTTGATTTTCAAACTTTAATCACACATATGAGGTATTGCTAATTTTCAGGGGCAATGGATTATTTAGTTTGGTTCTCATGGTCAAAGTCCCTAATTCCCACCAAACAACCTTTTGCTGCATGAGTCTGGTAAGAAGGTAAGGGAGATACTGATAGGATTCACCTGTGAGTAATTACTTGTTAGCAGGATTGTCTGCAATGGCACCTGATGTGTAGAAATGAGCCGTCTGAGAACAGGCGGAGGGATCTCATTACCAGCAAGAGCCAGGAATGGAGTGTGTCTTCTGGACCCAAGATTCCTGCACAGTAAACCTCCTGGATCCAGAAGACAGCTATCACATCAGAAGAACAGCAGCAGAACCAGGAGCCAGAGCTTGGAACAGAGAGATGGGCTTCCCAATCCACTGAGCAAGTAAAGCTGAGTGCTTTTGTGTAGGAGGCTGGCTACTGGAGTGAGGTGCCTCTGGGCACTTAATTAAGGGAGCTGGGCTTGTTGACCCATGGAGCGTGAGCTGAATGCCGTCTGGTTTGAGGCCTACAGCAGGGTGGTATGTCCCTTTGGGCATTTATTGTTGTCGTCGTTGTTGTTAGGTACCATTGAGTTGACCCCGTGCACAACAAAACGGAATGCTCCATGGACCTGTGCTATTCCTGCAATCGTTCCTGTGCCCGAGCTCATTGCTGCAGCCATGGTGTCAGTCCAGCTCGTTGAGGGCCTCCTCTTTTTCATCACCCTCCACTTTCCCAAACATGATGTCCTTCTCCAGGGACTGGTCTCTCCTGGCAACATGTCCAAAGTATGTAAGACGAAGTCTTGCCATCCTTGCCTCTAAGGATCACTCTGGCTGTACTTCTTCCAAGAACTTTATAACATGTCCCGATGAACAGCTCAACCCTGAGTATTTATCACTGGCATAACAACTTGTTAACTTCTTTAATAAACCTTTGAATCCTGAATTTTGTGAGTTGTATGTGGTCACTACAAGAGATATTAGGACCTAGAGAGGTAAAATAGAGAACATTAATATTAACAGCACACATATAACCCAAAGTATGTGACTAAAAGTAGGTTTTGCAATGATCACACTTCTGACACCAAATTGTGTAATCTCTATTAATGTTCTCTATTTAGCAAAAAATGGCACATTAAGGTAAGACCTTATGTTAACTAAAGGTGACTAGCGATTTGAAGTGCTAACTGAAAATTACTTTTATTGTCATTTGAATATGAAAAATTGTTATAGAGGAGATTTGTTACTTAGTCAAGGTTATAGTATTATCTATGGCATAATGAGGACTCATACTTAATGCAATTGACTTTTGGTCTACAATTAAAAACTACTGCCTTTCTCCAAACATATCACCAGTAGAATTAATGATGGTACCAGTTGCTATATCCAGTTGCCTAGCCCACAGCCTTAGTCCACCAGTCAAAGAAGGAGTGATACGCTGTCCTTCATGCAGAGGAGGCTGCTGACGGAGGACAACTGTGGTGTTGCTAGGCGCTGTCAAATCCTTCAATTCATAAAACCCATATGAAAGAGTATAACCACTCCTTAGGGTTTTCTGGGCTGTAATCTTTATAGAAGCAGTTCACCAGGTTCTTCCCTGGTAGGGTGATTTGAACCATTGCCTTTTGCTTTGCAGTCTACCCCTTAACTGTTATGTCAACAGAACTCCTTGAAGACATTCTATAGGAGTAAGATCACTGAATCTTCATGAGAGGCTTCTTTTGCGGTTTGGATGTAAAACTAAGAGCCCAAGAAGAAAGTGTAACTGGTATAAAGAAGTGTTGAGAGCTGTCCAGAGCTGTCCAGAGCTGGCTTGAATAGTGAGGTTGTTCAGGTGTCTAATTCCTGTCCCAATCGTATCTGAATTTTATTTCAACAAATACTGTTTATTAAATTGGCTTGCACAAACCCCTCTTCTTTAAATCCAAATCAGCCCAACACTTCTTAACTAGACTTTTCAGTTTCTTCATTGGTATCCCTGTTTCTCATTATTGCCCCCATCAAATTCATTTTGCATGCACTAATCTTACAGGTATATCTAAAAATACAACGTGAACATGTCTTTTTTAAAATAACAAGTCTTTGAAGAACTGTAGAATAAAGTTCATACTTCCTAGCCTGGCCTTCAAAATTAAATGCTACAAGGCATATATATAGTAAATGCTTTATAAGTAACTACCCATATTTCTACCCTCCAAGTCTCATCTCCTACTACATCATTTCACTGTCCAAATAATCTATATCAAATGACTTGCTGATTTTTTTGGTCTTCGGTAAGAAATACATAAGCAAAGCATACTTACTGTTTATCAAATGTAAGAGAAAAATATTATAAATATAGCTAGATCTTTGGCATCTCTCCTCTTTAAGCCTGTCAGGGTGAGTGCACTTTCATCTAATTGACTTGTAAACCTATACAGTAGACCAGGGTAAGTGATACAAGACAGATTAGAGAATAGACGGTAAATGGATTTACAATAAAAGAAAAATCACAAGTAGAAAAAAACAGAGGAGACAAAAACTACGTGTATTGGCAATGTTAGGAAGAGGTTTTAAAGGGATGGGAGAAGAAAGCCTTTGGGCGCAGTTTCATGCACTGCCATTCACGTGAAAGATTCAGGAGAAAAAAAAAAGAATGATATGAAGTTTTGCTGTGTTTTATGAATACAACACACCCCCAACCATGGCTTGGCTTGTCCCTACAAGCTGCTTTAAAGATTACTTAATGATTATTTTTACTTGACAGGCTGACAGCTAAGGCATTCCAGACTACCACAGGTCATACAATTATACTCTGCTTTTCAACAGCCTGCTCATGCTGGACTATAATTTAGAGTCTCACTTTGTCCTTTATCAACCGGTTATCCAAGCCCATACTATCCCTTTCATGAACCTTTCTTGGACCAAAGTTAGTAGATTCTCTCCCTATTCTCTCTCAACATCCCCCCCCCCAGCAGTTTTATTGGAAAGTAATTGACATACAATATAATTCAATTGTTCAATCATATCAAGGAGAATTGTACAGTCACTCCACATCAATTTTAGAACACTCCCCCCATGGTTAAATGACCTTTAAGATGACTTATGCAATCACAATCCATTCTAGTGCTCCCTCCCCGCCTTCCCCACGCCTGTCTTCATTATTTACTCCCTAAATCCCCTTTCCCTCCCTATCATCTTCCTTCACCCCTACATCCCTATTCCCTAGATCCCCTTGTATCAGTTATTATTATTATTATGCACCCACTCCTCCTGTGCTTCACAGCTGGGAGACCCAACAGAAAACAATGAAAAACAACATTGCGCTAAGGTGGTAAGGATAAAAACTTAATAGTATACAGACAAAAATACTAATAATATGTAAGAAAGAAAAGACCCCCAACAACATTAAAAAACACAGGGAAGAAAATTCTATCATAGAACCAGTAAGGGATACTTGCACACAGACCAAATTCAGGTCATGTCTACAGGGTGGCCAACTGGCCAAGTATTGAGTTTGATCCAGTATAATCAAGATTAAAATGGTCTCTGCCTGATAATAAGGCTGTTCAAGACTCCTGCCTGTGGCTATAGTGAATTGTCCAGTGGTTCAGTCTGACCAGATGCTCTGCAGATGGGGTTTGGGCTCCCACCATCTCCTACAGCCCTCCACAAATTGGGGGTCCATAATTTTTGTTCTGACGCTTCTCTCCTCACCATATTCAGATTTTGTATTTATTGTCTTTGAATCACACAAGCTGGTGTGCTTCTTCTGTGTGGACTTAGTTGACTCCTTGCTTAGGTAGCTGCTTGTTTGAATACAAGCTTTTAAGATCCCAGACACTATTCCGATTAATAGCCGGGCACCATCTGCTTTCTTCACTACACTTTGCTGTAGCACCCTTATCTTCAGTGATCATTTCATGAAAGTGAGTATTGAGTAAGGCCATGATCAACATCTTTCTTTACCTATAATTATAACAGTGGTCTTGGTATGTCTTGTCTCTAGTCCATGTTTGGCTCTAATGTAAACTTTTCAAGGATAAAAACCATCTTAATCATATAGGTAATTCCTATAATGCTTTGTCCTGTGTTTCTACAAAGAAAAAAATATTATTTTTGAGTGAATAAATAAATGAATGGAAATAAATAGATCAAGGCACTGTTTGAAATAATGGTTCTATCTAAAGCGATTGCAGGAGTAAGAGACATTTGGTAGGATACTGTGTTAGTCTGGGTAGACTAGAGAAACAAATCCATGGACACACATATGTGTATAAGAAAGAGATTTATATACAAGAGCAATTGAACATTGAGAAAACATCCCAGCCCACTCCAGTCCAAGACCATAAGTCTGATATTAGCCCATATGTCCAATACCAATCTATAAAGTCCTCTTCAGGCTCACAAAACACCTGCAATGAAGCCAAATGCAGGATTATCACAAACCAGTGGGTAGAAGGTCTTTGGATCCAGTGGCGTTGTAAGCATCTCAGTGTTGGCAGGAGTCTCTCTATGGCTTCTCCGGCTTCAGAGGTCTGGTTACTTACATTCATGTGGCTTGTCTTCTGCAATGCCTC